CAGAATCTAAAGAACAAAAAAAAATGAACAAACAAAATTGAATCAGATTCATAGACACAGAGAACAAACTGATGATTACCAGAGAGGTGAGGGGTCTGGGGGCTGATGAAAAAAATTAAGAGGATTAAGAAATACAAACTGGTAGTTACAAAATAGACACTCATAGGTAGACAGAAATATTTGAACCCAACTGTTCACTACAGCAGATTGGGAATAACAACATTGCCAGATAAACCCCAGAAACAACCTAGAGTCCATGCAAACATGAAAAAGAACTAGTTCCATCCCAAAGTGAAAACAAAAATGATCTGCCAGATATCAAGAGTGCTAATGTTTGCTTAATAAATGTTAATCCTGTTATATTGAGATTGGCACTAGGGAGAAGTTAGATGATATCAAGACCTATTCAGAGATGGAGTGAGATAGAATACAGAGAAAGGATAAAGATAGAAACAGAGATAGAGTTAGAGATAGGGATAGAGTTAGAAGTAGAGGTAGAGATAGAGGTAGGTCAGATAGATAGAGATAGAGATAGAGATAGAGAAAGGGACAGATACAGAGATAGAGTTAGAGGTAGAGATAGACAAGAAAGCTGCTTTAGATAAATGCTTGTGTTCCCACAAAATGCAAATGTTAAAATCCTAGCCAGTAAGATAATAGTCATAGGGGGAGAGGCCTTGAGGAGATGACCAGATCATGAGAGTGGAGCCTTTACTAAAAGAAGTCCTCAGAGAGCTCCCTTGCCCCTTCCTCCATGTGAGGACACAATGGGAAGACATCCAACTATGAACCAGGAAATGGGCCCTCACCAGATACCCAATCTTTTGGTGCCAATATCATGGACTTCCCGCCCCCAAATTGTGAAAAATAAATGTGGTGGGGGTTTTTTTTGTGTGTGTGTTTTTTTAAGCCACCAGTTTATAATACTTATGTTACATCAGCCTGAACTGACTAAGACACAGGCATATACTTGCATTTGCATGAAACACTCTGGAGGAAAATATTACGGATTGGTACCTGCACTTTCCAGCAGGGAGACTAAGAACTGGGCTTGATGGCATTAGGGAATTTAAATTTCCATCGTAGACCTTTCCTAATGTGTGGCTTTTTAACCATTAACCTGAATCAATGCAGTAATAATACTAAATTTAATGACTAATTAACAAAAAGCTATGCATTGAGAAGCTTTCCCCACACTTAGCTACATAATTGACTTGCAGAACAGAGCCAATGTGTAAAGGATTAAGAACAGGGGGTCATCACCAACCAATGTCTTATCTTCTTAAGGGTATTAATGATGTCTGGAGACACAACACTCAGTGAAAGCAGCTGAGGATTAAGAAGAAGTTGGTTCCTTAAACAGCTCTTCTCTCTGTCAATAGAGCCCAGAGCTCCGGGGAACAAGCTCTGGGACCCACATTCTTTCTCCCATCAGATCCCAGAGCTGGTGGGAGACTTTCAAACAGACTGCAGAGGTGTTAAAAATAGAAGTTAAGTTGCTATTGGAGATACACGGAGAATTCACCACTTGCAAATCTCTAATTATAATATGTCAAAAGTAAAATACCTTGTCAGGAGCAGTATCTAATATAATGCAGTATTGGTTCTGTCAGCACAGTGATCCATGATGTGTTGGGAGGCCCGCATTAAATAGACATTCGGCAGGAAAATGTCCTTCAGGGATTCATCTCAGCCCTTGGAGGACTGAAAGGATGAGCGGGGAAATCTTTGCTGTCTGTACTCTCCTCCGCTCTGGCTGGGAGCTCTGGGTGCAGCCTGCTTCCCTTCTACAGTCTGCACTTTATGTTAAATCATGTGCATACATTAGAAGTTCTTGGAGACTAGCAGATGGATGGATTGTTTCTCTCACCCGAAGCGACTCTGTTTCTCAAAGAAATGATGGCCTCCACAATGCTCTGAGAGAGGCATTAAGCACCATGCCACTGTGTCAGAGAACAGTTAGCGTTATGGCAGGTACAACACTAACCCATGGGGAAGGACTTAGGTGTGCTAATATCGCGTTGGGACAGCCATGGGTCTGACCCACTTTGAGGCTCAACTCCTTCCCTGGGAAATGCAGAGCCTGGAGATTAAAAGAGAAGGAGCACTCTGTGCAGACACGGAGAGAACTGGAAGCAAGTTTCTCATCCGCCATGTTCTGCACAGTCAGGCCAAGAAAGCCCAGCTCAGAGTAGGTCACAGACAGAGGAAGCATCTTCTTTTCTGGCCAAAGGAGAGAAGCCAGTAGGCCTGTAATCATTTGCAGCAGAAAACTGGATGGCCTCTTCTTTGGGCTGTCAGGATCAACCGCAAAGCCACCTGCCTCCACTGATGATGGTTCTCTTTCCTTTAAAACTTCAAGTGAGAGTATGCGCCATGCAAATATTGCCAAAGAAGGCAAAGTAACCAGTCCCTCCACAGATCCACACACTACATACCCGGAGAGTGCTTCTTGCCATTCAAATACTTTAGATATCGCTGTCGGAGTCTAGGTTGCCCAGTTTCAGAAACGATGCTACTGTTTCCTTGCTTTAGGACTCGTCACATTGCAATGAGAACAGAACACACGTCCTATTATCTCCAGTGGCCCTTACGCTCTACAGGCAGAACACAGGCCTGCTCACCTGTGCAGCTCCCTGCAGGGCCTGGGCTCTGTGGACCGTCCGCCTGCTATTTAATTGTAATTGTGTGGATCTCTAAAAAATTCTTTTTGTGAGAGAAGGACTTTGAGCATGTCAACTCCCGGACTGGATTAAAATTTCTTTTAGGTAGGCATAATTAACCCTTTCTTTTAAACTCTCATGTTGTAAGTCCTCTGGCTCAAACCCTTTTCAATGACTCCCCATTACTCCTAACCCTTATCGAACCCACCAGGCCTGTGGGGTATGATACCTACTGATTCCTTCCATTTAGTCCATTGTCACTCTACCCCCAAAGCCTCTCCACATGCCCTACATACACTGGCCTCTTTTTAGTTCTTTGAATGAGTCAAGGTCAGGACTACTGACCTTGTCATTCTTCCTGCCTGAAAAGCTTTGTCTTCTCGCCTTAAATATCATCTCCTTGAGGAAAGGTTCCCAGACTACTCATTTGCAAGCTGTGCCTCTGCTCTTTTTTATTCTCCCATAGCATCTGTCTTTTTCTTAAGAGCATGGATCATCATTTGTGTTTCTATAGCTGTTTGGTCACCACATGTTCACTCTGCCTCTCACACTAAATTTCAAGAGGAAAAGGACCATTTCTGTTTGATTCAACCACATCACCTACCATGAGTCCAGGCCTCAGTAGATGTTTAATAAATATTTGTGAATGAATGAATGAGTGTGTGACTGATTGACTGACTGAACCTTCCAAATCAGTAGTATAGTTGGCATATGTTGAGGCTTAATGTCTGATTTAACCTTTTTTTTTTTCTTCTGTCCTAAAATAGCCTCCTGAAGCCCTATCACCTTGATTATCACAAAATAAGCACCAAGCAAATAAACAACAACTATATCACTACCATCTGGTTGTCAAAAATACAAATACCTGTGAAATCAGCAAACACATTTAATAGACTCAACCCTAAGTTGTAGCAGCAGCCAGACACAAAAAGGCACGAGCGGTACTATTCACAAGAGCCAAAGGTGAAAACAACCCAAGTGCCCATCCATGAATGAATGAATAAACAAATGGCTTTTCTATATAATGGAATAGTATTCAATCATGAAAACTAAGTGCAGTACATTTCACAATATGGATGAACCTTGAAAAATTCTAAAATTGGAAAGAAGATAGACACATAAGAATATATAATTTCATCTCTATGAAAAATCCCAAATAGCCAATCCATATAGACAGAAAACAAATTAGTGGTTGCCAGGAGTTGGTGGAAGGCAGAATGGAGACTGTCTGCTTAATGGGCATAGAGGTCCCTTTGGGTGATGAAAATTTTGAACTGGATAATGGTGATAGTTTCACCGCACTGTGAATGTACCAAATGCGAGGGAACTGCTTATATTAAATGGTTAAAATGGTAACTTTTCCTGTTTTGTACAACAATAAAGAGAGGAAAAAGGCAATAGAAAAGTTTAGAATGTGTATTATTTTTTAAATTCTCCAAATATAACCTCCAGGTATCAGGTACCAAAGACACCAGGAATCAAACTTAGTAAGGGTTGCTTTTAGTTACAAGAAATATTATGCTTTAAAACAATAAACTTCTTCACCAACACTGGTTTCCCAGAGGCCTGGGGGCAGGAGACAGAGGCGCATCCTCCTTTCACATACAAAGGGCTCTAGACTTGAGGCGGGGTGAGCCCAAGCTTCCAGAGAATTCTGCAGAACAAATTTCCACAAATACGCATGTATATCTGGTGGGTGTGGTTACCTTAGGTCGTTCACAAACACACTTTCATTCTCATAATTACTTTGTTTAGGATGATCTTCGATTCATAGCTAATGACGTTCATTATTAATGATGATAGTATAATAATGTTTTGTTTTTGTTTGTTTGTCTGCTTGTTTTAACCCATTTACCCCATTCACCTGCAATAAATGTGACTCTTGGGTACACAGAGTCACGTAACCACCACCATCAGCGTATAGAATGGTTTCACTGCCCTGCAAGATTCTCTTCTGCTGCCTCTCTGCTGCCCAGGCCTGTACACCCCAGGGTGCAGCAACAATATGGAAAAAACAGGGACACGCATGAAGACTAGCACGCATCTCTAACACATTAGGCTAAATAGAGGTGGGGTGCTGGTGCAGAGATGCAGTGTGGCCACAAACGGCCACAAGATTTGTGTTTGGGGAGATGGAAATACTCCAATAGACGGTGGAGGATGCCTGGTGAGGAGGCATCTTGGCTGAACTGGGGTGGCAAGGTCAGGGTTCAGGGCTGCTTTATGGGCATGAGGCTTGGACAGGGGTGCACCCTGCTGTCACTACAGGAACCCTGGGTGCGATCCCTGCCTGACCCCCTCCCACCCGTGCCAGCGGCGAACCTGGAGCCCACTTACTGTGGCGGTGCCCGAGACGGTCTGCGCGCTGGTGTCCGCGGCGCTCTGCTCCGAGTGGGACTGCGCGGGAGGGTACAGGTTTAGCGTGTGCTCAGGGACGGTGGTCTGGCCGGGGTACTCTGGCGCAGGGTGTGGGTGGGGGGCCGTGTATTCCGCGGGGATGCCGTTCTGAGGGGGAGCGAACTGGGCCGAAGCGTAAGGCTGAGCCATTGTGTCAGGGGCAGCTGCTGCTTCCTGATTACCCTGCAAAAAATCAGAAGTGGACAGAAGGAGAAAGCGTGAGTGGCCACCGGCAGAACTTCCCCCAGGCCCTGGAACACAGTGACTCGGACATGGTGCCAAGAGCCGGAGTCCATGCAGCCCAGTGCATCTTCCTCAGACGCTCTGGGGAGGCAGTCACCCTCATTTATACAATCCATTCTCCAGATGCAGACATCAAGGCTGCGAAACCAGATGTCATTTTCCCCAATCATCCAGCTCAACAGCCCCAGGCTGGGAGGGTGTGTGTCCCACCGACCGACTTGTCTGGCAGATTGTCCTTCTCTCAGTCCCATTTGGGGGACATGTGAGCATGGGGTTGTCTCCCGAGACAGCAGAACCTTGCTCTGATACTTAAAACGCCAAAAGCGATTAAACCGAACATGCGTGTTCCTGAGAGGAGAGACAATTCATCTAAGCATTTGAATTTAATCAAAGTTTTATGTGTCTTGGCACACATGGTGGGACTGGAGGGTCTTGTTAATGACCGCAGCGTGTGTGTGTGTGTGTGTGTGTGTGTGCGCGCGCGCGTGATGTTCCAATGAAATTCAGGGCCTAATTTGGACAAAGATGGCCCTCTGTGATAGCCCCATTTTAAGTAACTCTGCAGAGTTGCTGGACTTAGCTCAGCCTCCTTAGTCAATGCCTCCCCCAGCCCCTGTCTTCCTGTCTTATTATTATTTTTTTTATAAGCACAGAGTATTATATAACAATTCACCCTTCAGATCTAGGCAAAACATGCAGTGTGATAATTACAGCCAAGTGAAAAGAATTAAACACACACACTCACACCCTGAATTCAAATGCTTCCATTTCAGGAAACATCTATCTCTCTCCACCTCCACCTCCACCCCCATCTCCATAATTCTACTATCCTACCCTACACACACACACACACACACACACACACACACACACACACACCACAGCAATCGAAGCAGCAGAAACTGCAATCCAGAGGTCTGAATTGTCCATGGTCTCAAGAGATGGGATCGCACAGATTGTCAGAAGGAGACAGAAGAAAACACCCTAGCAATTAAGCACTGAAGAGCTGCTTTGCCATCGTCTGTGGTCAATTAGAGGTGACCTCAGCCCTCCCACAATGATAGCAGGGCCAACATGTCAGAATCGCTCCCATCGCCTCCGTCCTCACCACCAACATACGAGCACCTCTTTGGTTAAAGCAAGACGGTGCAGCTGGGACATTCGAACACGGAGGGAAGCGAAGTTTATTCTCACAGCAGCGCACGGAGCCAGCTCGTTTGTTTAGAGGGGACTGTAATTAGAACGTTAAGGATGACACGCTGAAGAGGACTTCGCTTAGGCTAAGTTTAAAACGTTTTGCAAGTGAAAACATTCCCATCAGGCCCTCTCCTCCCCAGCATAACTGCTCCAAATGTCTGTGCCATGGGCAGCAGACATGCACAGCCACTTCTTTCTAACCTCTTTCCGTAGCATTTGGGGCTGAGCTGGGTCTGTCTGTGCTGTGGCTGAATCGCTATACGTGACAGGAAAAGTTGACCCTATCCATCCCTAGCAAACACGAGGTCACTCATTGTTATTGCCATGCAGTGTTCACTTCAAGGAAAATGCTCTGTTCCTTTCGGCATGGAGAAGGGGGGACCCATACCTTCTCAACCTAGTGCAGATGTGGCTGAGCCCCGCCTACCAAGACCCATGGATACAGTCATGTGACCTGGCCTGCCTAATCAATGGGTGCCACTCTCTTACCCAGCTGGTGTGGCTCAGTGATTGGTTGAGCATCAACCTATAAACCAGAAAGTCATGGTTTGATTCCCAGTCAGGGCACATGTTGGGGCTATTGGCTCCATCCCCAGTAAGGGCCCTGCAGGGGGCAGCCGATCAGTGATTCTCCCTCATCATTGCTGTTTCTATCACTCTTTCCCTCTCCCTTCCTTTCTGAAATCAATTAAAAATAAAAATTTTCAAAAAGGTTTTCACTCTCACAGTCACCAGGATGTGTGTTCATGCCCATCTATCTAAACTAGTTAGTGAGTTAACCCATTGTAATTATAATGAGGCTCCCTCATAATGTAAGCCTGAGCTGCCAAGAACCACCCCTTGAAGAGGGACTGCCTAAAGCCGATGCCAACCTAGAGGAGAGCGAGCCCAGAAATTGATAAACAGATAAATGGAGTCCCGGGGAGTTCATTGGAGGTCTTGGATGCAGCTTTACCTGCAGTTAGTAATGCTTTATTCACACAAATCGGTCAAGGTCTTATTTTGTTTAAGCTCCTTTTTCTGTTACTTGTAACCTAAAGGGCCTTGGTTAGCAACCCCTCCTGAAAAAAATCCTCTGCTGCTCATGAGCCCACGAGCATCCTTTTTTTTTTTTTCTGTCGGGCTGCGCAGGAAACATAGCCTCGTGTACAGACATTCCAAATGGATGGTGCTTCTTTCTGGCTGAGCAGAAGCCCCAGAAACTACTGGACCTGAGAAATCTCCAAAGAGAAATGCACGGGGACAGGTCCCACCTCTGCGCAAAGGTCTGTTGCAGCCTGCCCTGCTTTCTGCCAGGCTCGCCTCTGAATTGAAACAAAGGCTTGTGAGAACCCCAGGTGAGGCCTCCTAGGGAGCATACAATGATGGCAAGAGCAATGGTAGAGAGAGACGGTCCCTAAGGATAAAGGTTTTTCCAGCAGAAAACACAATATTCTGGGAGGGAACCCTGCCTGAGTGGCCTTTCCTTACTGCAGAGCAAGCTCAGGAACAGTGACCCAGTCCCACAAGCCCCAACAAGATGTGCAGGCTCTCTGCTGGGATCTGAACTCTCTCTGTTTCAGAAAAGGAAGGGCCTGCTCCATCCTCCCACCACCATCAAGTCCTCCCCTTCACGCTTCCTCTGGATGGAAAGCCTTCCCCTCCCAACTGCTACTCTCTGCTCATCCTTCAGGTCCCAGATCAAGAGAGCTCTCTTCTAGCAAGCCTTCCTTGGCACTTAAGCCACGTCATTTGCCTGCCTTCTTTACCTCACTGCAGCTTGTGGCCACTTCTCTCATAATCCCAAGTCCCGTCATTGGCTGCTTGTCCGTGAACTTCTTGGGGGCAGAAGACTGTGTCAGGTTCTCATTCCATCTCCAGTCTGGCCCATTATTTGCTTTTTGTTAATAAAGTTTTACTGGGACACAGTTACATTCCCTGTGCTAAGATGGCAGAGTTGCATAGTTCGGACAGACACCTAATGGCCTCCCAATGCCTAAACTATTTAACCACCTGGCCCTTTCCACAAAAGGTGTTCTATTCTCTGTGGCAGAGTGTTATTCAATAGCCATGCCACTTCAGAAGCCAGCTTTGCATCCATAGGGCAGGACATAAAGCTGGCGATAAAGCAGGGAGAGAAAGGGGTGCATTCTCTCTGCACCAAGGAGGGGAGGCTCAGCTGGATTTGGAGACCCTCAGTGCTGAGGATGGAGCAAAAGGGTGAGTGGGGATCTTTTTCCGAGTTTGCTTTTACATCAAGAACTCTCTGAATTGTCAATGCGCATGCACACTTGTAGGCCTGAAACCCTGCATGAGTAGAGTAAGGTGACCAGACATCCCGCTTTTGGTGGGACTGTCCCGATTTTTAACAATTTGTCTGGCGTCCCACAGTTAAAAATCGGGACAGTCCCACCAAAAGTGGGACGTTTGGTCACCTTAGCTTAGAGGGGGAAGATCTGAGATGGCTTCTGGCTCTCGTGCTCAGTCTGAAAGGCATCAGTGTCTGAAAGGCAGAACACAAGCCCAGGCCCCCTTCCTTCAGGCCTATGGGCACTTGCCATCAGTGATGAAACAGAGGAAAGGGATCCCCAGGGGACATTAGGTAATGACCCAAGACATTTTTGGATGTCACAACTTGGGAGGAGGGCTGCTACTGGGATCGAGTATGTGGAGACCAGGGATGTTGCCGACGCCCTACATCGTCGTACAGGCCAGCCCTGCGCCTGAGGATTCCTGAGCTCTGGCCCTGAATGCTCATCGTGCGGAGGTCTAGGCTCCCTGCCCGGCGTGCATTGCCTCTCTAACCTCACTTGGTTCTGTTGTTATGTAGACTGGGGCCCAGAACTGGTAAAGGAGTCACATGGCCAGAGCCACAGGTAGCTCTTCGGAAAACCAGGAGCTGAGCCAGAGCTCGTGTTGTCCCGTGCCCAGGTGCCTCTCAGGTGGCAGGACTCTCACCTGGTAGGGAGGTTTGTTCCAGTTTTTAAATAAGCAAAACTGTCTCTCACAAGCACACCCTGGCCTCAAGACCCGTGTCCACCTGGTGATGTGGTGCTGGGGTATTTAATGCATAGGCACCAGCATTGCACTGGCCAGTTTGGCTCAGTAGATAGTGCATCATCTCAGCCTGTGGACTGAAGCATCCTGGGTTCAATTCTCATCAAGGGCACATAGCTCAGTTGTAAGCTTGATCCCCAACTCGAATCCGGTTGTGTGCAGGAGGCAACCAATCAATGTGTCTCTTATATTGATGTTTCTCTCTTTCTCCTGGTTTCTTCCACTCTCTCTAAAATAATCAATGGAAAATGTCCTCAGGTGAGGATTAAAAAAAAATATGGTGTCAATGTTCCATCAGCCAGACCACCCTTGGCGAGGGTTAGAGCTCCAGCTTAGATAACTGCCATCTCAGACCAGAGGCCTTGCTTCAGAAGCCTCCAAGGCCACCGTAGGAAAAGCAAGGACCAGCAGTGGCACCACTGGAGCCGGGACAAGCCACCTGCTACCCCCAGGATGCTGAGCGCTAGGAAGCGTGTCCCTGGTCTCCGAGGAACCTGCAGGCACATCGGGGTACACAGGGCCCGACTGCACTCCTGTTCCCGGTGCCCAAACAGATGTTGGCGGGACCCCCCATAGTCACTTATTAACACTGACAGCAGTTCCAGAGAGATCCTAATTAATATTCCTACCCTTTGCACTTCAGGCTAATTACAGCTAATATTTAATTAAGATCATCGCACTTCCCAGGGGATTGCTTTTCACCTTCA